AACAAGACTGATATACTGCCACAAACCATCAATGTGTAAATACAGACTTTTTATCATTTATGCACAACCGGTTGGACACTATATATAGGTAAAGGAAATAGAATCAAGACATCTCCAAAAGCTAAAAAGCTTACAACGATGTATTTTACAGCGAAAGATACAGCGAAAGTTGTACAAAACGTTTTATCAACCTTCGATGTGAATCATGTATATTTGACAAACACTGCAGAAAATGAGAAATTATTCGAGAATATAACCTTTATTATGAAATTGATTTTAATCAGAAACTTCAATGGTATTCCTTATTCTTTCAATTTCTTGTGTCACTTTTTCAACTGCACTTTTTACTTCAGCATCAGTAGTCCCTCTGACGATTACACCCATCTCCGACATAATGATTTTCAATTCGAGCCCAGTCTCTGATCTCATTCTATTAATGTTTTCTCCTCCTTTACCAATCAGCATTCCACAAATCTTGTGATGCATTTCTTCGTCATCGTCTGTTAAAACCTTTTCCATGAAGTCGTTTTCTATTTCTTGTTTTATTTTGTTGATATGCGGCGTTACTATTTCTACTGCTTTCTTCACAACTTCAGCATTTATACCAGACACCAGTACGTGATCACCATCCGTGGTATGAACATTAAATCTTATTCCCGATTTGTATATGAATTTCTTCAATTCTTTCCTTTTCTTACCGAGTAGCATTCCACAAATCCTATTGTGAACAAGGGCATCGCTATCTGTCAACACTTTCTCCGCGATATGACGCCGTGGAATTTTGATTACGCTTCCATAGCTTTGATCAGTAAATTGTCTTGATATATGCTGCTCGCAGGCGGGTTCCTGAAACGGCCAACTGGCTTTTCCAACGTTAACGGTGCTGACGCCTGCAATATAGTGACGAGGTGAAACCAATCGGACAAAACACGTTCTGATCATGGAGGCCGCCATTTTGGGTTGATACTAAATACAGCCCGCTAGTCCTGTACGGACCGGAACAGACGGATAGGATTAACTATTATATTAAAGACGGATAAATTATAATTTGTATAAATCTCCACATTATGGTAAAATAAGTGATGTCGATGTTGTCATGCTCGATAGAGTTAACTTATAATAATAATAATTTGAGGTTCTTATATACTGCCTTTATTAACAAGAGGCCCAAGGGCCTTAGTGGTCACCTGAGTTATATCATATAGGTAGGCCTACTGGTAGCTTTATTTTATTGTTTAGATGTGATGTGGAAATCAGCATGTAAACTAAGTGAAATACAATACTTGTCAGGAATTCCAAGTTTACAATGTGATACAGTCGTCCACCAAAGATGATTCTGACCAAGTAAAAATAATTTCCAACAGAAAATTGTCAAAATATACCCAAAAGTGTTGTTTCCCCATATAAACTATAGTAACCTTTCCCCCCTCCCCAAGGGAGAACGGATAGCTCGGGGGTCCTGAAATTTACAATTTAAATAAAGCCCCTGGTGATGTTTCCATCCATGCAGAGAAAATGACTGTAATACCTCTGAGTCTGGAGAAGAATTAGATTTTTGAAATATTGGTTAATTTTCCCTTTGGGGCCCCGGCCTGGCCCCTAGGGTTGGGATAGGAATCCCAATTTTACAATTTGGTAGCCTCATCTACCAAGGATGATCCTGACCAAGTTTGAAAAAATTCCATCCACTGGTTCTTGAGAAGAAGTTGATAATGTAAAAAGTTTACGCACGACGGACGAAGGACGACGACGGACGGAAAGTGATTGGAAAAACTATAGGGTCTCTCAAAGCAGTTTACATAATCATTGAACTGCTTTCAGTTGGCATTCATAGACAATATGAATGACAACTGGACAAAGGCAAATTCAATGAAGTACTAAACGCTTCATGTTGGGATTTGCCTTTGTCCAGTTGGAAATCATATTGCCTATGAATGCCAACTGAAAGTATAGTTGAATACTTATATTTACCATTTTTGGGAATCTGTTCATCTCAAAGAAAATATTCAATTACACCTATTATTATTCAGCATTTAGTTCAAATAATTTGTTCAATGAATAGAACAGACATTGCCCAGGGAGCGTCAGTGGTATCCAACGTAACAATTTTGACGTCAACTGCGGTCCATGGCATTCATAACCTACATGAATGCCAACTGAATTTGGTAAGGTTATATCTAAATTATCATTCGTGGTTATTTGGCCTTTGCAACCAGCCAATATATATTTTTTGCAACTCCTTAGGGCAGTGGCGGATCCAGAGACCTATCGGGGAGGGGGGNTTTAAGCACTACCCAACCATGCACATACTCATTTACAGCTAAGAAGACTGGAACAAGCAAAGTAAAGTATCTTGTTCAAAAATATAAAACACCGTGCATATGAAGGGACGCCAACCTGCGACCCTTCAGTCACGAGATGGGCATCATACCACTAGACTTCTGTGCCTTTAAACTTATGGTTAATTAAAATTAACGATGAAACTAATTACAGCCTTGTAAAAAGTTGGACAACTGAAGCAATGGCAAGAAATAAGCGATGATTAACAGAATCTTATGGCAAGCCAAGTTGTCATTTATTCATGGAGCAATGTTGATGATATATCATATCTTTTATAAGATGTGCCCCCCCTGGATCCGCCCTCTGGAGTGTAAGAAAATAATAATACAACATAATCTAAACAGGTGGAATAAGTATTTGTTTTTAATTGGAATGTAGTACAAAACAAGTAGAATGACAATGCTCTGATCGCTATAGTTTATAACTCTTGGATTAGAGGAAAAGAAATCTATACCACTGGTATATACTGGTATCCTGTCAAAGCAAGTAAAAGACTATTTTTTTAGAATGCAAGATTAAGAGTTCAAATCAATTCATATTTATTTTGATAATGAGCTTAATCAAATTACTTTGCACTTATGTCCTGGTGCTGTACAGGTTCGGCACATTATTCAAAACATAATGTCTCTTTGAGGTCGAATAATGACAGAGTTCAGATGTCATCATAAATTGCACGACTGTAATAAACTTGGATTTCTATAAATATTATGCCATAACATTATTCCTCTACACACACAATAATATACAAACTTTAAGTACAGGTACATGTATGAGCATTTTTGATGGTTGTATAATAATTATTGTAAGCTACCTTGGTTTCTCCCACAAATATAGAAACTTTTAACGTATGACCATGAAAAAAAAGCACACAGTAGATAATATATTTGGTCCTGTCCTGAAAGACAACCGTCTATAAAAAGGTCAAGGTCATGTATCTTTTTCATGAAAGGTCAAGGTCACACACGCTTCTCATGACGGATGAAAGTTACAAAATCCCCTCAGTACAGGTCAAGGTCACAAAATCTCTTCAGTACAGGTCAGGGTCACATGTTTATGCAGTGAAGGAATCAGGTGATAGTGATTCCCTCATCATTGATTTCAAACATAAAAGTACAAGAATGCAGTGATTTCACTTAAGTTTACCCCATATCAATAACAAAATTCAATTATCCTAGATGAAGGTCAGATACAAACTGATCCTAAGATTGTCGAGGACCAGACAATCATCTAACCATCACATTTACATTTTTTAGTTGTTCCATTATAACAGTTTCCCTACCTCTAAGTACAACAACGTTTTAGAAACAAATTAAGTCTGGTAAAACTACATAATTTTTTTCCTAAAATTATCAAATGGTGAAACCACCAGAAAAGTTTATATTTCTTTAACTCATTCACCCCTGAAGACACAATTGAACTCTTCCAATTCAAAGGACGAAATAGTTCATTATGAAATTTCAGGGGTGAATGAGCTAACAACTGTGGTACAACTGTCAGGAAAACACTAGTGACTTATGGTAGCCCTGGGGTGGTGTGAGAGTCATGTCATAGAAAACAGATATCTCAAGACCACTTCTACAGGTAATGTCAAACAAATCTCAAGGGTAAAATTTCTGATATATATATTTTCTAAACATCACAGCATTTCTGTTTCGATCATCGTCATCATCAGCAAGTTATAGACAGTTATGAAGACATTTTTTTTTTTAAACTGGTTTAAATTTTTATTAATTGGATTTCTGGAAAACCTGTACTTGGAACAAACATCATACCTTAAATCTACAATATATCACGAATCAAATAACTTACATATCATATTTACCTAGTACTTAAAAAATGCAGCAACTTGATAAACAACCTTTATACTCTTATCCCACAGACTTTGGAAATCATGATTACAAAACAAAAATTAAAACTACATGATTCTTTCTAAATCGAAACAATTAAAATCACATATGGGTACATCAGAGAACACAAAATAAGTCAAATGCCCCCCTCAATGCAGATGAGTCAATATGCCCTTCCCAACTCGAACGAGTCTAATGCCCCTCCCAACAATAATGAGTTTAATTCCTGTCCCCACTCGAAATGAGTGAAATGCTTCTCCCAACTCGAATGAGTCAATAATCAAATAAAGTCAGATAAGTCGATATTCCTCCTAATTTGGAGGAGTTTAATAACCCTTCTTACTTGAATGAGTCCATTAACCCTATTAAATGCAAGAGATATTAGAGGTCAACACTTAATACAATGTATCCTGTTTAACTTTTTGTTTGGACCAAGATAACATATTTTTACTGAACTGTCAAGAATTTGAAATTTAAATTTATCTGAAAAATTTGCTCCAGAAATAAGAAATGATCAGTATATATATATCATTGCTGTCGACCCTCCCTCACTTTGACAATGATATATATATAGTTTGTACCAATCTCCCTAGGAACTCTTTCATTCAAGTCCAAACTCACACAAACTCAAAATCCACATCCTGTGGTCAAATGATCTCCTAGTAACTGCAGGGTGTGATTAATGATCATAACGGGTGTGTCTGAATCAAACAAATGCTTTTTGGAGTTATTTTGATACATAAAAAGGGAAAGATAAATTGAGCAAAGCAGTTTTAGTTGCATTTATGCACTTTCTCCCTCATGGGAAATGTGGAATGAGGGAGATCTCAGAGGTTGACACCTATGATATATACAAAATAAAATATGATAAAAACAATTATAATCTTATACACACTTTAACACTTGCATTTGTTCATAGACTCACATCACAAATACTTTTTCAAGTTCATTTACATGGCATAACACATTTTGTTCATAGAATTTGTACACAAACATGCATAATTACTTTCAACATCAACACTTGTACACAGTTAAGCACATGTTCACAGACTTCCATTTACATATAACATTCAATTCCCTGCTACCAGTAATCTAAACAATGTCAATTTCATTAACATTTATCTATATCTTAAAAAGAACGAAAAAACTCACCATCCAGATGTAACCAAACGCTATTTTCCCTAGAACTGTAAACATACCCATTTTAGCAGTAATCAATTTTTTTTTAAATCGAAAAGCATTATATTATGATACTGTTATTACAAATATAAAATAGATAAAAAAACCACCACTAATTTTCTGCATGTTATGGATAACTAAATCAATTTGTGCATAGCTAGAACACTTTTGACAGTTCATGGTATTATGAATCTTCAAATAAAAGCATTTTTATAGTTTATGTTTATGAATAACTTATATATACATGTAGTACATTTATGTACCTCACCCACTCCTCCAAAATCAAGCTCAACAGTACTAAATATAAAATGCGAGACAATGAGGACAAAAAGTATAAGAAGTACATATGTAAGTAGTACTGTTCCGACAGCACTAACTACATGGTATACTGTATTTATCCAGTAATAAGCCCATGCCTGGTAATAAGCCCACTACCCATATCTATTGTAGTTCAGAAGAAATACCAACAAATGCTAATTCATTGTCCTGTAATAATCCCACTGCTTACTTTAACTCATTCACCCCTGAAATTTCATAATGAATTATTCCAACCTTTTAATTGGTAGAGTTCAGATGTGTCTTCTGGGGTGAATGATTTAAGTTATAGATTGCACAACGTTAGCCTACTGGGCTTATTGGAAAATAAATACCTTATATTATGATCAGAATCATGACACTGTAACCTCGCTCATCTTGGGTATGAAAATCTTGGGACTACATCATAATTACTTTTATCAATATTTCTATGGTGATAAATCTGCTATGTTCATTCCAGACCTTTTGTTTTTGGAAATTAGAGTGTCCAGGAATTTTGTTTTTTGTCCAGACATTTTTTTATTCATGAATCTCAAGTATCTAAACTTTAATTTTGCAAGTTTCCAGACTTTTATTTGAAAATCAAAATGTCAAGATTTTATAAAGAAAACCCAAAAGTTCAGTCTTCTGAAATCCAAATTTCTTGAGTTTTTTCCAGAAATGCATGTGCCCAGACATTCAATTTGGGAACCTAATTTTCCAGAATTTTTATAGAAAATCCAAATATCAAGACTTCAACTTTGGAAACCCAAGCATTGTTTTTGTAAACGAGAATCTTTCATATCCATGCACTACTGAGTATATATGTAACGAAGGAATTTAATGCAGGTTATTGTAAACAATAAAATAATAATGTTCGGCTCTGAATAATCACACACCACATATTGGTCTATCCTGTAGGAATGGTTCATCTTCTATTAAACAGTTAAATGATAATGTACAGCTCTGAATAATCACACGAGACATCATGGTCTATCTTGTAGAAATAATAACCTCCTAAATGGTCAGATGGTATGTATGACTTGTAGTTATCACACAAATTATAATACTGGGCATTCTTGTAGAAATAATGTCTTTTGAAGATTTTACAAGTCACTTTCCAATCTTCATCAACCAATGCTATCTTATAATCATCCTCGATACTCCAGGAGGTATGCTTACTTATGCTTATGCTTAAAATTTCTTTTTCCCAAAAAGGGTTGCTATGAAAGATATTTCTAATTCAAAATTGAATGCCCATGAAAATAAATTCAGAATTTGTACGATTCACTGACCATTAGAAATACAACAACAAACAGAATGAAGATGAGGATAGCCATAATGACGTCAGGTGTGATTATCCAGAGCAGTAACCGTCAAACGGTCTCCACTCCGCCGCCCGATCCGCTTGAAGTCTCGCTTGTCTCATTTTCTGCTGATGATGAAGTTGATTTTGGACGTCGACGAAATAATCTTTTCTGAGCAGCCTCAATCTGTCAACGATTAAGAATTTTCTATTAATAACAAAGAAATCGTTATAAAATTAAATTTCATTTTTAATATGAAAATATGTCTCATGATTATCATACTTAAACACAAATTTGTAGTCTATTGCTTCTCATGATATTATCTCTTACATAAATTATTCTTTAAATGAGATATTTTTGTTGCCGAGACATATACAGTGTACTCCGTCTGAACCGAAAACTCGCGGGACCACATGATTGGTATAGTTTACTGACTGATTTCAGATCTTATTTCCAACACTCAGACACATGAAAATGTGTAACATGAGGTACATGTACATGAATTCATATATTAAATTATGACAGGATGGACAGGTGCATGCATGTATATGAAGATACTGATATCTGTCAACTGATACATTGTTCAGTCTACTTTTTATACATACCTATATAAGACCAAATTTTATTATGCCAGTTCAGAAAATATTTCAAATTTGACAAATTTGACAAAGTCTGATCGAGACAGAAAGCACTCTGTATGGAGTGAACAGGTGTAGATTTCATGGAATGCATTATTAGAGGCAATGAGGACATGGAGCACAAGTAAATCACTAAATGACAAGTGGGGAGCCTTTATTTACACATTTTCTCCCTCAAACAAACAAATTTCATATTTTAACTATTTTCTCAATATGGTCCCTTTATTCCACTCCCAAATAGAAAATTCTCCATTCATAAGTAAATCATTCTGAAAGATCACATTGACCACTGTATCAGCAGATAATTTTCCATGGCAGCTTTGTATTCATTCAATACATTTGTTACAGTGCCGTTTTTGTGGCAGAGGGTAGCTGATAGAACCAATCACACAAATACCATAGGAAAATATAAGATTCAAAATGGAATGAAATCTTGAATTTTACGATAAGCATTCAAACTATATTTCAAATTTTCCTCAAGGCTCCGTTTCTACAACACCTTTCTCATGCTCAAGAGTCCATGCTCAAGCCAAAATTTGTGTACCTGCGATGTATTAATAATTAAAAAAAAAAAAAAAAAACTCCTACAGTATTTAATGTACAGCCTCCTATATAATGTTAAATGTTATAGTGGTTTATTAGTAACTACAGTACATATTTCAAAACTGTAAAAGTGGAAATTCTCGCTTGTGGAAAAGTTGGTGTTCAGGACTCTTGTAAACTAATCGTGGGGTGGACATTTTTTTTGTCAACAATGGTTCTGAAATCTATTGACATCTTTTATGTGACGTCATAATTTCTCTTTTTATAGTATTTCTTCGTACTCAAGGATCATTTTCCTATTTTTGTAATATATATATAAATATCTACACGTATATTTATTTTTCATCCTAATTTACTCAAAGCCAAAAACTTGTGTGCACACCTCAATAATTTCGAGTATTGGAGGTCATCTTAACTGACCTTGTCTGCAAAAAAGGAAGCCACAGTAAAGATGACCAGTACAGCTAAGGCCAGGTGTGTCCAAAACTTAAGCCAGTCCCGGTATTTCCTCCTGAAAATTCAGAGCATATATTATAAACTTTATTTATTTTACAACAACTATGAAACAAGTTATTTCAACTTACATTAATCACTTTTGGTAGAACTGATTAAAGTTACATAGGGTTAATGTGGGAGGAAATGGGAGTACCCGTAGAAACATGTGGTCTGGCAGGTGCTCCCATACCTTTTCACGTCTGATTGGGGAATCAAACCCTGGTGCCTTGGTGAAAGGTAAGTGCACTATCCACTGCATCACCCGACCACCCTTCAGTGGCGAAGTATTTATTAGATTAAGGACGAACTGAGTACAATTTACTGTGGTAAGTACTCACTAAGTGAAAAGTATCATAAAAGTGAAACTACGTAAATCTGTTATCTGTATGGGGATTTTTTTTTCATGGGAATATTTTTTCCCTACTTCTAAAATACAAATTGGCTGTCTTGAAATTATTTTTAATTGCTATTTTTATAATTGTACATCGGAGCTAAGTTGTTCAAAGCCTGACTACTTGCGCAAATGTTTAAAGCAAATTTTCAAAATTCATTAAATCAGAAATACCTACAAATATTACAAACATTTTCATTTTCATGTCTGTTAATGATCATTTTGAATTTCTGTAGATACAGTCTTAGTTTTAATTTCAATATTTTTCTAATTTATTCCAAATCGAAGTTTTGTGTTCGATTGTCAATAGGCTAATTTGAATCAAATGAATTTGAGGTTAATATATCTTATAGATCCGTAAATGTTTGTCACCCACCATTCCCTTAGATCATCTGCATGTAGAAAACGGTTCCTATATTCCCTTGGAAGTTCAAACTGTGACGGAATCGGGAATACTGCTTCATAAAAGTCCTGGAGAATAGCTTTAACCTGTTGACAAGAAAAATAATATAACTCATTAAATGGAGAATGTTGAAGACAGAAAAAACACACTCAGTTATTTTTTTCCCCCACTAATCTGAACTTAGAAGCAGCTGTTTTATCTTATCAGAAGCTGTTAGTAAATACAGCAGAATGATAATTGTCTTTGAATGTCTATGAGTGTAGAGGAGATATTAATTTTTTTACAGGAAAATCACTTTTCAAGGTCGGTGTACAGTAGAGAGGTGGTGGGACTCTACCTTAAGGATCAATGTCCCACTGAAATGTGGTTTTTCGTATATACAATAACTTCCCCCTTAATTTTGTATGGAATACAACAGTAGCACATTTGTGCCAGGACACTTCCTTTGACCAGGTAGCTCAGTCAATAAGAGCGATAATACAACAATCAAAAGTCCAGGGTTCAATTCCTGGTCTAGCCCCTCCCAAAGGTTTTACTCAAAAGTTGAAAAGAGGTGGAACTCTCCACTTTAAATCAACATTCAGGTACTCACTGTTTGAGCATCCTCCTTATTATGCTCTATATTGTCATTTAAACAAATGAATTTTCTGAAATAAATTTTAAAAAGAACATCAGAATATAACAACGATTTTAATCCATCAGAATATAACAACGATTTTAATCCATAAGAATATAACAACGATTTTAATCCATAAGAATATAACAACGATTTTAATCAATCAGAATATAACAACGATTTTAATCCATCAGAATATAACAACGATTTTAATCCATATGTTGTCATCATTTTGAAGACTTCTGTCACAGGATTCTAGCAAAAAAAATTAGCAAAAAGAATAGGAAGATCATTTCTATCTATCCTTCACAGGAAGATCATTTCTATCTATCCTTCACAGGAAGATAATTTCTATCTATCCTTCACAGGAAGATCATTTCTATCTATCCTTTACAGGAAGATAATTTCTATCTATCCTTCACAAGAAGATCATTTCTATCTATCCTTCATAGAAAGATCATTTCTATCTATCCTGCACAGGAAGACCATTTCTACCTATCCTTCACAGAAAGATCATTTCTATCTATCCTTCACAGAAAGATCATTTCTATCTATCCTTCACAGGAAGATCATTTCTATCTATCCTTCACAGGAAGATCACTTCTATCTATCCTTCACAGGAAGATCATTTCTATCTAAGATCATTTCTATCTTTCCTACACAGGAAGATCATTTTTATCTATCCTCCACAGGAAGATCATTTCTATCTATCCTTCACAGGAAGATCATTTCTATCTATCCTCCACAGGAAGATCATTTCTATCTATCCTTCACATGAAGATCGTTTCTATCTATCCTTCACATGAAGATCATTTCTATCAATCGTTCAGAATTGCTAAACAACTTTATAGCACAATAAAGTCCTGCTAGACAAAAGGAGGTAGTGTAACAATGTTAAACTGTACATCATACCTATAACGTGATGACATATACCTATAACGTGATGACATATACCCCTACCGTGATGACATATACCTGTAACGTGATGACATATCCCTATAACGGATTGACATATACCTATAAGGTGACGACATATACCTACAACGTTATGACATATACCTATCACGTGATAACATATACCTATAACGTGATTACATATACCTATAACAGGATGACATATACCTCTAACGGGATGACATATACCTATAACGGGATGACATATACCTACAACGTGATGACATATACCTATAACGTGATGACATATACCTATAAGGTGATGACATATACCTATAACGTGATAACATATACCTATAACGTGATGACATATACCTATAACGTGATGACATATCCCTATAACGTGATGACATATACCTATAAGGTGATGACATATGCCTATAACGTGATAACATATACCTATAACGTGATGACATATACCTATAAGGTGATGACATATGCCTATAACGTGATAACATATACCTATAACGTGATGACATATACCTACAACGTGATGACATATACCTATAACGGGATGACATATACCTATAATGGATTGACATATACCTACAATGTGATGACGTATACCTATAACGTGATGACAGATACCTATAACGTGATGACATATACCTATAACGTGATGACATATACCTGTAACGTGATGACATATTTATAACGTGATGACATATACCTACAACGTGATGACATATACCTACAACGTGATGACATATACCTATAACGTGATGACATATACCTATAACGTGATGACATATATCTATAACGTGATGACAGATGTGTGAATTGTACTTACTTTGGGTGTTTACGAATATCGTCTAGTTGTCCAACCACCGTGGAAATATTACTTTTTATCATCTTAAATGCAATTTCTGCATCATCCATTATTGTAAAACTGAATAAGAAAAAAAATCAATAAAACTATGAAATAATTAAATCTGTCAATTTACTAAACTTATGAATGTTAGACATCTTTTATAGACAGTGTAGGAAGTTTTTTGATTGATCTAACCAGAGACCAAAGAATCTTAATTCTTCCTCCTGCAACTAAACTTATCGGTTTATGTGGGGCAAAGGCCCTTTTATATTATAGCCGTAGGATTGGTTAATAAACACAATATCATTTTTTCATTCTTGAATATTCATGGAAATTATGTTGAACAAAATGTGAAAGAAGAACAGTCTGCAGATGAATTACAAGGATACACCAAAGTTTTCTTATCCACTTGTACCTTCTCTTTGAATAAAATTATTTTCTTATAAACTAAGGATAATTTTTCAATCACGTTACAGGAATTATATACTGAAAATTAACTTATATACAATACTTCAATATTTATTACTAAACATTTAAAAGGTTACTTTACCTGTACTTGTTCACTGGTTTGAAGTTTTTGTGAACAAGCTCTATCATTGGTTCACAATGTGTGAACAAGTTTCTAGTCACTTGAGGCTGAAACAATTAAACAAACGTATATTGTACTTAATTAATATATTCATGTATAACTCATCAGATCTGAGTTTGCCTGTACATGTAAAACAGGGTTTTGTGGAACAATATTGAACTCCTTATCAGAGATGAAACTGCGGGATGTATGGTTTTCATTTTTGATACTGAAAAAATTAGTATACCGTAGAATGGTGTTGGTAAGGAATCAGTGACTTGAGTTTGAACTGATGATGATCAGCTCATAAGAACTCAAGATACTGTTCAGAAACCAGGTTTTATAACATCGGTGACCTTGACCTTTGACCTCTGGCAAGCATGTTTGGTAAGGAAGCAGTGTTTCAATTTCATTAGCTCATGGGAACTTCAGTTATTTTTATGTGAAACAAAGGAAAAGGCGAACACTTCATCTCCTCTCCACTATTTGATGGGGCAGTTTAATTATTACATAAACATTTGTTCTATACTACCAGAAATAACATACATGTATATCTATATTAAAATGAAACAATTTTAAGACACAAGGATAAAATTGTGATAATTTCTGGAGTGAATGAAAAAGAAAATTTTGTGTATTAATAGAAAGAAATTGTAATAGCTTTCACGAGGGGGGTCCCTCGCAACATTGAAAAAGAAAACAAAGCATAGTGACAGTATGAAAGCCCCACACAACATTACCATTCCTTCCTCATAGTAGGTCTCCTTGGGGACCGGGGGATACTCCCTGATGACCTCTTCTGGTAGGTGTGTGGAACAGTTCCTCATCATGTCCTCAATCTTCACTAGCATCTGTAAAAACACATTTTACCTCATGTACTAGGACTATTTAAACTGAACAGTCTCTTACAGACAGAAACCTCCTAAAGTGTAGTTTCTAATAACCTACTATCTCCTCAAAGAAGTTCAACACTTTCAAAGAAGTTCAAAGAGATTTATGAATATACAGTGGCCCTCACTGTCAGTCAGTAGATTTTACTCTGATGGATATCACACACATGAAGGTTTAGAGGTGTTAATATGGCCATTACTACCAGTCAGTAACTGTAAATGCTGTAGAAGAAAAGGGGTTATTAATATAAGGTACTAGAAGTTCAGGGGGGGGTAATAATTTTGCTGTGGCCTTCACTGTCAGTCAGTAGTAACATACCCAGTACACTCTATGGGAACAACGGTGTTACACTTACCATGGTACTGAAGTGAGGTTTTCAGGAGTTAAAAAACTTATTGTGACATTATCTGTTATAGCTGTATATTTTTATGCACCTATCCATGTCGGTAGGACAGGGTTACAATAACATGGAGTTCGGCAGACATGACATTAAGATGAGTGAATATTAATAAAACTTACTGTGGCACTCTCTATGAGTTAGTAATTGTATATCTTTGTACACTGTTGATGGGAGCATGGGTTACAAGTACAGAGGGTTGTGGTTCAGAAGGGTTAACAAACTTATCGTTTCCTCAGTATAAGTCAGTAGTTGTATATCTTTGTACACTGTGGATGGGAGCATGGGTTACAAGTACAGAGGGTTGTGGTTCAGAAGGGTTAATAAACTTATCGTTTCCTCAGTATAAGTCAGTAGTTGTATATCTTTGTACACTGTGGATGGGAGCATGGGTTACAAGTACAGAGGGTTGTGGTTCAGAAGGGTTAA